CCTTGGGACAGACAGAGCCCACTAAACATTGCATCAGACTACTACCAATCGTTGGTGGGAAAATGTATTCCCACATGAAATTTTCAAAATTTGTATTACCAATCAAAAATTTGAAACACACTCAATTAGTAAGCATGCATTCCAGTACTGAAAACATATGCCATCATCAAAAAATTCAAAACATGAATAACTCAGAGCTTAATAGGGTTAACCACTGTACCACCAGGGCTCCTACAACAGCATATACACCACTTTTATGGCATCTGAGTTTATTCAACAATTTCATCTAAAAAGAACTGCACACCTAACAATGGGCCAGACACTGTGTCATTCACATGGGGTTTATTCCCTGACTAAATAATTATGTTCCTTTAACGTTCACAGCACCTAGCACAAAGCCTTGTACGACAAAGATACTCGATAAACACTTGCCCGATGATGTAATTACAACTGTTAATAGCCATAAGGTACGTTCCAGGAGTTATGATTCTCTTTCATTCACTTATCTTGACATTCCTAGTCTTACCTGCCCAACTGTTTATTCAGTCTATTCTCCATGCAAACTATATACGCTCTTATTTACCTCACACCATTATTCTTTTCAACACAGAAAATCTATGGCAGTTGTAGAGGACAGGGAAAAGAATTAAGATGTGCTCTGTTGGTTGTATGTAATTAGATTTGGTAGAACATGATCTAATTCAGAAATAGGAACAATGAATTTAGCTACAGATTAAAATGAGGGAGTGGATGACCATATTCACATAAAAATGCAAGTAAAACCTTGGTTCATTTATATACATTTTAAAAAATGTTTAAAGTGTTAGACTTCCCCAACACAAGTAATCGGAATATTCTGGTCACTCCTCATTGAAGTGTCAAGTGGAAACAACAACAATGGCCCTGATTCCATCAAAAGAATGTGATGTCACCCGGAATCAGCACAGACTAAGACAATCTCTTATACCTCCTAAACCTACAGAAATTTATTACATAAAACAACGAAAGATGTGTGATTCCCACTGCAGTGTACTTTTTTCAACAAATCATCCGAGACAAGTTCAATAACTTTAATTTCACTGTTTTACAGTAGGAACTTCTACTTATATTCTAAAACAAGGGGTTTATGGTAGGGGCTCCTAAACCACATAGAGCTGTAGTCAACATGTACTGTTTTGGGCTCATCAATACTCCTTCCCCATGCTGTTCTATGAGGTGCTGCCAGTCCCCAGGACTCCTTGCTGAACAGTCTCCCTATCAATCCCACACACCAGCAAGAGTGGGCATGTGATCAAACCAGGTTAATCTGAGTTGTTCCCTTGGATTTTTCAAACTGGAGCTTGTAGGGGAGAGCCTTTCTGATGTGGGCACAAAGCAGGAGGAAGTAAACATGGAGTGCTTGTGGTCACAGTCCCAGCCTCGTGGAAAAAATATAGGTTTGAGAAGGGAGCTGACTGACAAAGTAGAGAGGACAGGTATAAAAAGAGATAAAAACAGGGTCCTAAGAGTGCCTTAGATCCACTGCAGATTTTTCTGCCCTTCCCAAATTTCTGGCTTCATTTGGGCTCAGAAGGTTGGAGTTAGGATGCTTTCACTTGCATCCTGAAGAACCTCAACC